TTGATGATAAGCCCCCCCCCCCTCACGTGGATTTGATCGACAGGTCACCCCATGCACGCTGCACTACTGGCGGCACCTAGCTATTAGAGGCCGGGGTGAAGTAAAGTCAGGTGTGACCCTTCTATGGGCTTGTAAATAACTCTTTTTCCATCAGTGCAATGGGCTTGCTTTTTCGCGCTTTCCAAAAAGATACTCTCCGCAAGGGAAGTTCTCGCTTGATACATAAGCACGTGTTACCAAAACAGTCATAGCATGACTTGACATGCTATTCTGTGTGAACATTCGATCTCAGTGCATTGTGGTGCTTACAAAATGCACCATTAATAGCCCAATAGCCTTGATAATGGTGGATAGGAATATATTGAGCCATTACAGAAAATGTTAGTATGTATCAGTTTTATTGGCAGGTAGGCATTTCCAATAACATGTACCAAAGTTATTTTTGTACTTAGGTAACTTTTCTACTGATAAACATGCTCCTATTAGTCGATACACTATTACTATTGAAACAGGTGTAAATATCAACAAACAATCAACTGTGTACCTTCAGATCACGGGAGCCCGTCCATACTTTTAGAAGTAATTCAAATACTGAATTCATGAAGGACCTGACAATGGAATATTGTGCAGATGGCAAACCAGCTTCCATTACTTTAATGCTGCAAATGATCTTTGTCAAATTGAAACTTACATAACATCGTCATCGAAAGGAAGCCCTGAAGAGGTGTCTCCTATATACACCCATGCAGCCTGGCACCAACACTTTAATGCTGCAAAGGAAAACATGGTATCAATTAATTCAGAAGCAAGAACGTATATATTTTCAGAAATTTCCGGAAATATATGAGTACAAATGAGAGCATAGACTGATAGCTGAAGGAAATTGCAAAAGGAAGTACCATTTGCAAAAACAGGTCGTTGGCCGTCTCGTACACTTCCTAGGATAGGTAAAACGCGCAAAAGTACATCCTTCAATCGTGGAGTGAACTGCAGGGCTTCAAATAAGCAAGAACAAGTTGCAAATTCAGCAGCCCAACCAATTCAGGTGGAAAAATTAAATAAAAAGAATGTGTTTAACCTTCAGCAGATGCAAAGTCTGCAAGTATCTGTAACATGGCTGGCAAAGCAGAAGTTGGTCCAGAGAAGTAAAGAAATATCTCCTCCATCATCTACAACGTGTTAGGTCAGTACTTATCAGAATACTAGCAGAAAGGCACAAAATGAACAGTCGACTGATGATGGTCATATCCTTAAAAATACAAGTTCTCCTTGGGCAGTCATCCAAGAGAGGAGTGGGTATCCAGCAATGTAGACTTTGGGAAGAGTAAATGACTTCTGACATATAAGTTTACCAAAGCTAATGTTAACTCACAGCATTAATAGAACACTATTACTGAATTAACATGAAACTCAGCTACCTGGATACCTTCAGAAAATAAAGATTAGTGAAGAATTGCCAAATACAAAAGTTTGGTATTGAAACTTGCAACAGACTTGAGTGTACACCCAAAATAATTGGTGCTAGAATGCATATTCCGAAACAATAATTAAGTCATGCTTGCACTTACAGAATCCTTCAATCAATAACTCTCCAAGAGAAATGAATTTTTCTTAGGGGGAATTTACTCAGTAGCAACCAGAGGATGTAAAAATGCGAGAGATGGCACTGAAAAAGTGTTGCATCATGACAGTATCCACTATTGTTTTCTCAGAATATTATGGACACTTTGGGGTTTGGCCCTTTTAGCTACGCAGTGACCATCACCCCATTTTTTCATACCTAACAAATTCGACCTTATTGACGTAGCCTTACTCCTAGTAGTTGACATCTATAACAAGTTTATCCACAAACAGAAAGTATAATGGTTGTGCAAAAGGTATACCAAATCTGGGTCATGTGACCCAATGGCAACAAGAAGAGTAGCTGCCGCTCTTTGCCAATCAACATTGAAGTCCTGTTCACCAAAGAACACCACTAGATCAACCAACAGATAAACAAAGGCAGACAAAACAGAAAAACTAGAAAACAAATCAAAAGCTGTAAAAGGAAACATGATGCATCCTTGCCATTGCAGAGCACTAGAATAGCACCTATTGTAAACAGATAGCATTATGAATGTTCAAAGCCATGGCGGAAAGAGAAGAATAAACTTGAAAAACGGGCCATGATTCTTGGCTGCAGAAAATCAAGGCCGTTTCTGCAAATAAATAAATGCCTAGAGTTGAGATGTTTGGTGGATGCCAAAAATTACTTGAGTTAAGAAAGGTAGCTACACCCATTACATCAATCTGAAGTTAAGAACCAATAGATGTTACAGAAGAATGTTACGCGCACAAATAGGAGTGATAATAAAGTACAGAGCATAGAAACTTGAAAAATACATAAATATTAAGTTTCAAAAAAATCAGACTGTAACATACAGTTGAAGTATGCAACAACTCATTGAGCGGTAATGAACAAATCACTCCAGCTTCTGAGGAGGCAGTGGGAAACCTTTTAACTTGATGGTGCGATAAGTAAAGTATGTGATCGTCAAAACGTTTCATGGCATCTTATACTCAAGCAGGATCAGTTCATGAAAATAATTCAGTGTGACAGTCACAGCAGAAAAGCATGCCTAGTGTGCAAACCGTCTGACATCCCTATATATATATGGTAAGAACATTCATGTCAACTGTTCATCGAACCCCACAAAATCCCCTCTAGTTATGTAACGGGTGTCAGAAATGAAGGCGTGTGAAGCCGCAAAACAGTACTACCTCATTCCCAGCTCACCATTTTGTATTCAGCTGGAAGAAGAAGAAAAAAAGACAAGGACACAGGCTGAAAGCGTCCAGTAATACCTTTGAGCTAACAATCTCGGCGGTGGCAATCTTGGCGATTTTCCGGAGGAACTCGCGCTCAGCATCCAGGCGGTCGAGAGCCCTGACGGCGGAGGCCATTACGAGGAAAACCCCGGCCATGTTGCCAAAGCGCTGCAGCAGTCGACATCAACCAGAACCAATTCACACCCAGAGCCGAAGCGAAACGGAAACGCGCGCCCAAAAATGAACAGGATGTTTTGGCGCAGAGGAGCTTACCCGGTGGCCGCCCCGGGAGACGGTGGCGCAGCAGTCGAGGACGAGCAGCGGGTTCCTGCACCCGGCGACAAGCAACGAGCGACGGGTTAATCAATCAATCAATCATGCGCCAGCCAGGGCCAGGCGGCAGAAATCGCTGGGTTACTCACAGCGGCGCGATCTCGCGGAGCGCGGCGAGGGCGGAGTCGCGGGCGCGCGGGGAGTCGTCGGCGAGGGAGGCGACGAGGACCTGCACGGCCTCTGCGAAATGGAGAGGCGGGGAGCGGGTCAGAGAGAGGGCGAGGGTGCTGCGGAATCGGAGACGGGGCGGGGGAGGAGGGCGTGGTCTCACCGAGCGCCGCCGCGGACGCCGCGGCGGAGGAGGAGGACGCCATGGAGGAGATCCGCGGCGCGGCGAGGAGGCGGGGCGGGGTGGAGGGAGGGACAGCTCAGAGAGGTTCGAGTCCCGGGTGGCGTGACACGATGGGGGGTGGTGAGGTCACTCCGTCTCCATCCGTGCCGCCGAAGGGGGCCGAGGGAAACTGACAAGGAGAAGCGGAGGGATTGAACCACAGTTGGATGGGGGGCCTTGATCTCGACCCATCGGCAGCGGAACGTGCCGTTGCGCCCGTCCGTCGTTACACGGCCGTACTCTTCCTCTCGGCCTTCTCTGGCCTCAGCAGTTTGCGCAGGGGTTCAGGCTCTGTTTATCTGAATATTCATTCACCCTACGGCAGCATCTTTCAGCTAAAATTCCACTGTCTCCATCAGCATCTGTGGTAACTTTGAGATGACAAATCTACTCGTTTTGAAGTGGGGATCAGGACTCTGCTCCTACGTCAGGAGGTTGATTTTTTTATTATTATTGAAATTCGGACGTCGCTGACGAGTGACGCGTGTGCCAAGTTGGGCGCACATATTTACGGCTTTGATTTGTGACTAACTTTGCCAAAGATTGTCACACCTAAAGTTAGACAAGTTTGACCAACTTAGGTGAGTGTTTGGTTCAAGCCACATCTTAGGCAAGCCACACTCGGGCCTCACATGGCATACACGTGAGAAATGTGGTAAGATTCCCTTAGGCTTGCCAATTTGTGGCTCTCATTTTGATGAACTAACCCTAGGCAAGCTTGGTAAAAATATGTGGCAAAGTGTGGTAATGTTACGCCTAGAACCAAACAGCCACTTAGTTGGGGGCGCACATAATTTATCACCAGGACAACCTTGTTGTGCTGGTTCCTTCTTTGCTTCAAGCATCAGCAGATAGCTTTAGCTTATCTATCTTCCATATATAATTTGGGCGATTAGGGCCAAAAATTATCTGCTCTCTCATCACTCCTTGCACTGAACTGCCCGCCTGCTGGTCGTCGGGTGCACATCGCCTTGCCAACCAACTCTGAACCGGAAAATTGCAACCAGATAGCCCCTCTAAAATTGCAACCAACTCTGAACGAATCTTTCACGCTGTGAAACCGGTACAGAGACACACGCACGTACTGCTGCCAACATCAATATCAGCGTTGCAAACACCGCTCTATACTTACACTGCTGGTGGCAGTGGCCTTGCAATTACTGTAGACCTAGTTAGCACTGACCATTGCCCTTGTAATTTGTAAACTGGATGCAGTAGTTTACCTCTACAGTTTGACTGTTTTTGCTCTATATATCTCTCACTTGCTCTCTCTCGTTTCCGTTTTTCTTTTCAGTTTTGGATCAACTGATGGAGAGATAAAATATCTATCTGTTCCAGCATAGTACAAGCAGTTTAAAACGAACCAGCAGAAAGAAGCGAGTGGATCGATCAAATGACAGTGGGATGACAATATACAAGCGCGGGAGTTTTCCAAGGGCAGACTATCATGAGGAGGAAGTGGATCATGTACGACCACATCAACTAGATTAATAAACAAGAAAAGCTATCATTACGCCTATGGTCAGCTTCATATTTCCCCAGTGCCAAGCGGTTTCCGTGAAGAATCGCCCGAGGCCCAAGCTTGGTAGTCTTTATCAAGCTGAAAGAAACAGCAACAAAAATCAGCAGATGATGTCGGGCCAAGTATCAACATAAATACAGCAAGTGGTTCAGGCAACAAATGGTTCGACTCGAGACACTTCCAGCTGGCATTAATCAGCATAAACTAATCCATATATGAACTTTTGGGGGTCATCTAGTTTAAACATGAGAAGTGATGATTGAACAAAACGCAAGTAAAGTAAAACTAGATCATACATGACAGTTCGGATATCGATGAATGTGGCAGAAGGAAATGTGATAACAGTAGCCATGCTGGCGGTCTCATCAAGAAAACAAGCGTTGGTAAGTGATAACCAATAAGCATGCGGATGCCTGCTCAATGGTAACTAACCAACCTGATGTTCTGCCCCTGTATGCAGCACCCAGCTGGAGCGAGTTATCGGGCACGGTAGGAGCGTCAGGCCTCCGTGCCGTGCTCCAAGTTAGTTGGCACATGCTAGAATATTAGTGTTCTTTAACGCTGCGGTAAGGCACGCTGTATCGCCAGGGTGTGGGCATGAATCCTTGTACCTTTTCTATCTACTATGCAACTGTGCGCAAGTATTCTGTGTGTTCTTGAAATATAACTAACGAACATAAATCTAGTTCATATACGAGTAATGAAATGAAGGAGACGTTGATTTCCAGAAAACAATCTTCTGAACTTGACGCACCATTACTTTATTACTTGCATAGAAGTAGAACAACACAGCCTTGAGTTTACAATTTTTGTCAAACACAGTGCATTGAAAAAAATTAAAATGCAGGCTGAACTGATAAAAAAAATGGAGTAATCAAAAGGCTGCCATAGGGAAAAGGCAAAACAGTATTTAACTGACCTGCTTCAGAAATCGTGGAAGCATGACTCGGAGTAACTGCTCAAGCACTTGCCTGCCACTTGATTCAATAGCTTCAACTGGTAGTGCTTGAAATGGAAAGGGAATGTCAATTGCAACCTGAAAATTATCATACAAATATGGTTCAGCCCAAGAACTTCCAGTGATGTTTAGATGAAGTCAGCTGACAACCAGAAACTGAATTACCTCGATTGTAGCATCCGATGTAAGCTGTTGAAGCGTCGAACCCTCTGAACTGCTGTTGCAGAAAACCCTATTCACCATGGAAGCTGCATCCGACAGGAAATCATGTCAATGGTTTCCTGGAACAGCAATTTAATATTTAATTTTCGAAATGCTAAATACAACTACAAAATCACGTGTATTAACTAACATAGAGTGAATCATGCAACTCCATTGTGCCACTAAGTCTGACGAAAGAAAGTCCCTCCAATTAATTTTCACCGTGTGGATTGTGCATACAAACTATTGAGGCTGCGTTCGGTTTGCATGTATAGAAAATATAGGACCAAAAAACTGCAAAGGAATATGATTGATTGTACAGTAGCAGACCATAGGGTTATAAAGCGAAGGAAGAGAAGCCTGCGGGGTGTTCGAAGCATAGTTGTAAAAAATACTTTGTTACTGGCCAAGACTGTGTAGGCCATGGCAGATCCTATGCTATTTTTTATCCGCATGTACTCTCTCAGATTGTCTTTTTCCTCATGCATGGCTGGTACAGTTCAATTGTTTATTTGAGTGGTGTTGCCTTCTCTCGGGCATCCGCCCAGAAATGAGGTTCAACTGGATTTTTGCAATCCTGTGGAATGAGCCCTCCAAGACAGTATTTCCTCCAAACTTCTGTAGCACTTTCCTACGAGGCGAACGGTTCAGAGGTACAAAACTACGGGTTTTCGAACATGCAGATTTCCTTTGTTTTTCCTGCAAACCGAACGAGGCCTGAGTTTCTTTTTTTTTTGGACGCACCAATTATTTAGTTAGATAAGTGCAAAGAGCAAACACCCCAAGAAAGCAGTGATCACCACAACTAAGGATGAACCGTGACAAGCAGAGGAAACCAAAATGCCGTATGCATCACTATGATTGATGGGCTTCTTTTGGTCACCCCTTTGTAGTTTACTCGTCCCGTACAATGCAATTGTATCACACAGTCCACATGATGTGTTTTAACCATGCTATCTGGCATCAGAATTAAACGAATTCCAACGCTTCTTTGGGGAATTGACCCCGTCATCATAATTAGGTGCAGTGCCACTGAGACAATAACAGAATTAATATCTGACAGCTCTAGTCTAGCACGCTAAGCAATCTGACAGGTATCACAACGGAAAGACGATACAAACATGAAGAGGCGGACAACCTCACCCGAGAATTTGTCATTCTGCGCCTCCACAAGGGGTGACCCCTCCAGCTGCACAACCAAAACATTTTTCAGCATTTGCTAGTCGCAGACACATCATCCGCCGCCATTAGTGAGGCACTGAGTAGCTAGTTACTGCAGGGTGCTCGATGCTTGCCTTGCATGAGAGGAGGCGGATGCAGCAGCCGTTGGGCTCCTCGTCGACGCGGACGAGGAGGACGGGGCAGACCTCGAGCGCGAAGAAGCGGAAGCGGTAGACGTAGCAGCGGAAGGTGGACTCGTCGACGCGCTCGATGCGCTCCGCGTCCAGCACCGAGTACTGGCTTGCCGGCAGGCCCATGTACTCCGCTGCATACATATGCGGACAGACGGACGGTAACGTGTCAGGAGATCGCTGGGGGAGGTGAGGTGAGGTGAGGCTCCTGGTCGGGGCTAGGGTTGTCGTACCGAGGGGGCGGGCGAGCTGCTGGACGGAGGTGGACTCGGAGCGGCGGGCGACGAAGCGCGCCTTGGGAGCGGACGACACGGCCGACGACGAGGACGAGGAGGGAGAGGAGGAGGCGCAGACGACGGCGGCGGCGCGGCAGCGGCGGAAGGCGGCGGCTGCGGGCACGGGCGGCGGGGAGCGGAGGGACGCTGCCATTGTGGGCGTCGGTCGGCTGCTTCCCCGCGGGCGCGCACCACCGGGCCTTTGCCGTGTGTGGTGTGGGGAGAGGCGAGGAATTTTGTGTTGGATGGATCTTCTTCCTCGTTCGCATTGGACGGATAAGATGCAGTTGGGATGGGTAGGGGTCTGGATCGGGTCGGCCCTACCATCTCGGGTGGGCCAGGAGAGGAATCTCTTCCGCTGGAATGCGGGGCCGTGGAAACTGTAGCCATGATTTTTCTTCTTTTTCCTTGCCTGATGATGAAATGGAGATTGATCTTCCGGCACGTGCTCCCTCCGTCCTCCGTCCGTGAATAAGTGTATTTCTAATTTTTTTTCTAAGTTAATTTTTTTTAACCAAAACAGTAGTGGCATATGTGACATCAAATTGGTATAGTATGAAAGTACATTTCAAAACAAATCTAGTGATACTAAATTATTGCCATAAATACTAGTACTATTTCTTTCTTATAAAGTTGGTCAAAATTTGAAACTTTGACTTATGAAAAGAGTTAGATGTACACTTATTCGTGGACGGAGGAGTACGTACCTTTTCTATCCACATGTTGCACTCTCCGACTCCGAGGTGCTCGGGTCGCGGAAGCTCGAAGCCTCACACACACCCGGTTAGGCCTTGCTTCGCCGTCTCTACTTCCTGTCTAAATCACATTATTATCTGATTATTATTAGACAAAAGGACAAAGATATTTTGAAAAAACAGCGGCAAAAGTTTTGAAAATAATTGCCTAATAAATAAACAAACAATTGATGAAAATTGTAACATACCCCACTAAGACGAACAGGTATTCAGGTAACAACTACCGTGTTGTTTGGATACTAATATTTGACCATATCAGTCTTGCTAAACATGTTTAATAGTGCATGTAAAAAAAATTGTTTAATAGTGTAGTCACCTAAAACTATGTTTGGTTAGCGTAACAAATTTTAGGACGAGTAAAACTTAGCTTCTTGTAAAAAACAAGAAAAAAACAAGTTTTAGTAGGGAAAAACAGTATAAACTAGTTTTAGCATATCCTAAACTTTCATCGCACATAACATTCTCCACTCAAGGAAGCTGACTTCCTCTTCCAAACGTCCCACGACCTCACGAGTTGCATGTGGCTGAGATTCATGATGAGACATCGGGCGACTCCAACATGTCGAACACC